TTATTTATTTATTTTTTTTTAAATTTTATTTTATGTATGTATGTATGTGTGTGTGGCCAGCTCAGCCCACCAGAGGGCAGGGCTGGCTGGCATGTGGTGCTGGGGGATTGAACCGCGGTGCCTGTGCTTTGCTAAGCTTGTTCTAAGTAGGTGCTTTACACCACTGAGCCATCTCACCAGCCTCTACAAAATAGTTTAGATATACAGCTTCTTTCTCTTAATTTAGTGAGAAGAAAGATTTGTACTAAAACAATGGCTCTTTTCTTTTTCTTTTTCTTTTTTTTTTTGGCAGAACCAGGGATTGAACTCAGGCCCCTGTGCTTGCCAGGGATGTGCTTATTCTACTGAGCCATCTCCCCAGCCCCATAATGGTTCTTATCATTAAATTTTGTTTAGAAAATATTTTTCATAAAAAGTGATATAATCCACATAAACAACAACAACAACAAAAAGCTTTATGGAATTCTTTTTTGTTTGTTTTGAGGCAGGCTCTTGTTATACAGTTCAGGCTGGTCATGAACTCACTGTGTACCCAAATGGGCCTCGAACTCATGGCCAGTGATCCTCCTGCCTCAGGCTCCTGAGTACTGGGAATATAAGAGTGTGCTACTGCCTGGCTTCAATTTTTTAAGCTTATAGAAGGATAGATGATAAAGTTCAAAACTAACAGCATAATGTAATGATGTATTTGGCATTTCAGTTATTTTCCTGGTGCAGAGAGAAATGGGAGCAAGCCAAAAGGACATTTTATCCAGGAGCACTCTCAACTAATCACTGTTGCATCCAGGTAATCCCTACAGAGAATGCCCCAAAGAACATAAAGATATTGAGAAATGTGCCGGGTGTGGCAGCACACACCTGTGGTCGGAGCTACTTGGCTGAGGCAAGAAGCCTGTTTAAACCCAAGAGTTCAAGGTCAGCTGGGCAACTTAGTGAGAGCTCATCTCAAAAAACAAAAGGGCCAGGAAGATGGCTCAGTAGAATAAACGCTTGCCTGGCAAGCGCAAGGGCCTGAGTTCAATCCCTGGTTCCGCCAAAAAACCCCAACCAAAACAAAAATACTGAGAAACTTGCAACATTCTATTTACATTATAGATAACTATGGACAGGGCCAGCCAAATAGCTCAGTGGATTAAAGCACCTGCAAGCAGGCCCAGGGCTGGGGGTTTGATCCCTGGGCCTGCCATGCCGGCCCCACCCCTGGGGTGCACTGAGATGGCAATTGAGACTGGATGCGGTAGCACGTGCCTGTAATCCCAGGACCTGGGAGGCTGTAAACAGGAGAATCATTATGAGTTCGATCTAGTAGTAAGACCCTGAACACCCTATAGACCCTTTCCTAAAATACAGAAAAACAAACAAACAAAAAAACTATAGACACATAATGGGTAAAGGAAAAACAAACAAGTCCTTACTTTTTGACGTAAGGTCTTGCTGTATAGTTGAAGCTGATTTCTTTTTTTTTTTTTTAAAGGCAGAAGGATTTTTTATTTTTTATTTTTTTTGCTCCGAATGCCTTCAGGGCAGGTTTGTCTGGCTTGAGTTGTGGGGATTGAAGCACAGCAACCTCAGCCTGACTGCTTTGTTGAAGCAGCCACTTAAAGAACTGAGCTAAGGGGCAGGCCCCCTGAAGCTGATTTCAAGCTTACAGGGTCAAGCAATCCTTACTCAACTCCAGAATTGCCAGGGTTACTGTACCCATGAGAAGGCAGAATTTATTTATTTATTTTTTGGGGGGTGGGGACTGAGAGTTGAATTCAAGACCTTGCGTGTGCCAGGAATTCACTTATCCTACTGAGCTATCTCCCCAGCCTCCAAGAAGGCAGAATTTAAATGAAAAAGTTTAGGCTAAAATTTTTTTTTTTTA